GTGGGGATGGGTGGGCAAGGTCTCACGAAGTACAAAACACACATCAGCTAAGCGGAGCCCCGCCCACAGTGGGCGTGGCGTGCGTCGAAATGAGCTGTACTGACGGGCGGACTTAAGTGGGCGGAGTTTGCGACGAAAATTCATAACTCGGCTCCAAGAAGTCCCGGAGACCGGGAAAAAGGTGGATAGAGGTGGGTGAAGGAGTGGAGCCCAACTGCTGTTGGTGGGCGGGCATTTCCAAAGTGGGCGGAGTTCTCCACGAAAACTTTGTGACTCGGCTGCAAGAAGTCCTGGAGACCGGGAGAGAAGTGGGCGAAGGAAAGGAAGTGAATTTCTAATGGTGTGCGGAGGATACACCAAAAAAGCAGGATTCGCCGCCAAAATTATAAATCGGCTCAGAGATCGGGTAAAAAGTGGGAAGATGTTCACGCCGCACCACCACCGCATCATCGCAGCAGAACTGTGCTGTGCGCGCAACGCGTGTGGCGCCAACTGGTAAAATATACTGCATCTTAAAGAGGAGCATTAATAGTGAATAAAAAAATTAAGCAGAGGAGAACTGACAGTTCTAATTCCTCAGTAATCTTTCTGGCTTTTTTTCGAACACCTTTCACAAATGAATTATTGAACTTTATCATTTAAGGTAAATACAACATAACATTAACAATACTCGTGGTTAAGTGTTAACAACACAGAACACAGTCAACAGTAGTGCTGTCCCATTGCAACGGAAATCTATGGGTAGCCTCTCCATTTCAAGCAATGTGTACATTTCCGGACGTGCTTCTTGTGCATCTAATAAGATACACTCGATATTTCACAAGAATGCCGGGTTGTGAACAAAACTTTCGCACCAGGCGGGACTAGAACCCGGGCACACTCTCGGTTTCCGTCCCGCCTGGGGCGAAAGTTTTGTTCACAACCCAGCATTCTTGTGAAACATTCGCAACGCGAACTGCGGCGTTAAAACAGCAGTTAACAAACAAAACAAGTCAAAATACACTCGATACTTGTGGTTGGGAGTGACGGGGCGTAGGTGGATTGCCACCTATTTGGCTTGAGTTCTAAGACTTTATCAGCCCTTTGTTGAATGTGGTGGTGTTGTTCGTTGCACAAGTCTAAGAGACAATATTAGGGTGAATTCACACGAGGAAGAATCACCTGGAAAGAGGAAGAAGGAAGATGTGTTACGAGTGTAGCCCAGAGGTTTGGCATTGCTCATAGTATTGTTTCACGAGCATAGGGAGCGATATAAACCATCTCCTGTGGTACCCAAGGAAGAGGAGAAAGAATGGGCCCACGCCAGTCGTCGGCTGCAATTGCAAAAAATTTTTCCAGGATTGTGAGGCGCGTAATCCCAGCGTGAACAGTGGCGAGACGACGGCATAGGGAAGAATTATTTGTCCGACGGACTGTATCTGGTGTTCCCTGAAGCGCGCACCAGCGAGAACTTGCTAAGAGGACCATTGTCCAACATGGTTGTTTTGGTGATATTGAAGTTATTTCGTCCTGAAGTTTTGCACAACAGTGTACAATTCCTACACCATTTCAGTTCGGGTAAGATGGAAGACATATTAGTAGAACAACAAACAGGGAAAGAAGATAAGGAATGTCGAGAATTTTCTGTGATATGTCCAAAATCACGTGGTGATTCCGAGCGCTGTAGTTCACGGATCACGAAGGGATGGAAGGCTTGGTTGGCTAGGTAGGACAATGTTCAGAACAGAGAGTTTAGAGAGGTGAGCATTCGAAACAGCTCATTGCAATGATTCGGCAACCTAGGCGGAGGGATGCGAAAGAAGGAGGGAAAGGGAGGGAAAATGTGTCTAAGGAAGTTTCTACCTCAGAAGCTAGACAGGATGCACGTGGGATTCACGCCGACATTGTTGCAAGGAAATTGAGGCGCAGCAAGGCAGAGATCCCTCGTCGATGAATACATGACCATTCGAAGAGATCTTTTAAAGCCACCAACTGAAAAGCATTTAATAAATATTCTTGACGGAATAGGACTGATATATACGGAATACTCTAAGGACAGATAAAATGATAGCGAAGAGTCCATATCTTTCTCTGAATTCTTAGATCAAATTAAATCTCAAATCAAAATTTGAGCAGCCAAACAAGCAATATTGTTAGAGTGCAAAGCTAGAGACCTAGAAAATTTCCTAGTTTCAGTCGGCGATCGCAGGTCTTGAACTACGTATATATCGCATCACCATTTGCATGGAGTTGCTTACCACTTTAATCTGTTCTTCAAATAGAAGTTGTTGGCACAGCCTTCCAGCGTCGTCGATGTTTCTATCCGAGTCCATTTGAGGCTCATAATAACAAAGAACTTTTTCTGGGATGCTCCGCCATGTTCCGCCTTCTTTGGTACTGAATGTATACACAATCGTCTGAAAATTTACAGGCTTTATTCCCGAAAATCTCCTTCATTCTGGGCAGGTGTGCATTAGCAAAAATGTGTTAAATTGTTTATTTTTCTCCGTAGCAATAGATTCGGTAAGGAAAATAGGATAGCCATGGGTTAGTGCAATCAGCGCAGAGTTAGAGAAGCGACTCGTCCAAGCAACTGACAAACATGATGCGTTCCCCTTCTTCAAAATTCCAATGTTGTTCAAATCTTGATAATTATTAGTATTCCCACATGGGGACAATATCTGTTTGAGAAATAATTTCAAGCAGTTCACATACCATGTCCTGGTTTCTGCCGAAGAAGATAGGCGTTAACATCCGTTTGGATGCTTGAGTGAAAGCGGTAGGCAGGGCAGAATTATCCTGAAACATTCTAGTAGTACCTCATAGTTAATAGCCATTAATTTATGAATATCCAACTGGAACCTATTCCTGCCAAGAACTAACTGCTTAATCTCTGTCTTTACTAATTTATGCGGATAAGCTCAAAACCCAATGACCGAAAAATTGGAATAAGTGCCAGATGGCAGCACGCTAAACCGTGAACATGCTGGAACCTTTTGAGCGAGTAACAAAAAAAAAAACGCTCACCCCGCCCTGAGTTGAGCTAAAAGTTGCGTTTGAAGGGAACTGCCATTCGTCTCTGATGTCAAAGCATCCCGAGCTTACCAGTAATGCGATCACACTGAATGCGACACAAAATATAGATATCCAATGAATCGAATCCATATATTTTCCGATGAGAAGATATTAGAACAGCAATAAGTAAGTCTACATTGATTATTCTCATTCTGCACTCAACAGCTCATAAATACAGTCAATGGTACGACAGCGGGTTAGCGACTCAACTCGCAGTATATTATCTTATGCTAGGGGATTACAGGGCGGTGCCGCAAACGATGCAGCCAGGCTCGCTCCAGCCTCCCGTCACACCGCCACTACATGGATCCAACCTCGGGGCATAGGAGCTGCGAGGAGAGTTCTGCGTCAGCATGTAAGTACCCGCGTAAGATTCATAGGGTGTGGCAGCCCTACGTGGCTCCCCAGCTACTAAACATACACCATGTATAAGACATTATTATAGAAAAGCTATACAGCAATGATTATAAATATTTGTTACATGCCAAAACTCACCACATCAGCTAGATTGGGCCACCTCTCTCAGCCGGCTGGCCAACGTACTAGACCCCCACTCCTGCTCAAGTTGTTCTCCGGGAGCTCCATGCGGCCGAAGAGTCCTCGCAAGGTGATAGGGAAGAGACACGGCTGGACTGGAAGACAGGCGCTCCGAATCCACCTCGAACGAGACGTCTCCCCCTGCACTTGTTTAGCTTCCGCGTGTTGCCCGCCAGCGTTACGGTCATCGACAAACGGGTCATATCGCAGTCATAGTCGGTCGTGGTCTAGAAGCAACGGATCGAACTGTCCTGACTGTTAACTGCCATCTTAATCGTCGAATACTCAGGCAAGTCCAAGATCGATATCCATCCAATGCTGTGCGACAGTTACGATCGTTGCTGTCGTCCGGACCGACTATGCGTGCGGCCATACGGCGCTTCGAGCATTTTCGTCCGAGCACATGTGGGCCGTGGAGCGCGGTTTGCCCTTCAGCAACCATCCCCTCATCGATAGTGCTCCCGCGTATGTGCGTGATAAATGGAATTTGATATTGGTCGATAAGTGTTCGGAAAGGATCTTTTGAATCAAGTCTTCCAATCAGATCTCTCAGACATCATGAACACCAGGAACTCTGGATTTTGTTGCATTTTTACTGGAGTAGAGAGTAAGCAAGGATTCAGTACCCAGGCTGTCCACTTGCGCCTAATTTCCGTCCAATCAATGGTACGTTCCACCATTGTGGGTGTCGACGGAATGGATTATTTGAAGATTCAAGAGCACATTGAGAGCTTCTACTCGTCTCACTCAGAAATTAAAATGTATAAATAACAAGGTAAGAATTTCTAATGAAATTTTTAGATGTGCTCCCCAACCTTGCTCCGTAAGTCGTTGAATGAAGCATCGCGGTAATACGCAGGAAGAGCAACAGTGACCTAGCAAAAGAGGAAAGTTAGTTCGGGAGGCAAACATTAAAACAAAATATGCAATCGACTTCAAAGCCTTTAGTTTGGCGGATTGATAAAATGGCCAGAGGGCGATTTGATATACACTCATTCCCTTGGCTCGAATCCATCGCAAAAAGACTATGACAGCGACCCCGCATAGTCGCTTCTTGATGCTTAAAGGCAAATTTCGGGCTCAGACACACTCAGTGAGCTTTTAGTGTGGCTAGAAGCGCTGGGTACGCAATCGCAGAGGTCGCTTCACTTCCTACTTCGAAGGGTTTACTTAAGGCCCTGTTCAGAGATGTCCGCTTGCGCGAAAAAACGCATAGGCGAAACAATGTGAAATATGTATCGACTGAACGAAGACGCACAGGCGAATCGTGAAGTGGGAGGATCGACGAAAATGAGTATCATACGCATCGACTTACGAACGCTTCGCTCACGCGATTTTCCGCCTGTGCGTTTCTCACAGTCGATACATATCAAACTCTTGACTGAAATTCGCCTGCTCCGGACGTTTCGCTTACGCGTTTCACAATTTCTCAGTCGATGCGTATCTAAATCTTGGCGGAGATTTTCGCCTGTGCGTTTTTTCGCGTAAGCCGACGGACATCTCTGAACAGGGCTTAGCGCTAGGCGCTAGCGAAACATTCGGACACGCTCACCAGTTACAGCCGCGCAACAGCATATCTGTTGTCATCGCCACTGATACTGTTCCGCTACTCGATCTTCTATGCTCTTATTACTTCGTCTATCCTGCGACTCTCAACGCGATCCAGCCATTATCTCATCTCCCTGCCGGCCTTTTGAACTTCTCCGCAGCGTAGAGCAAAAGGCTCGTATTTCCTGCATTTCACAATTTTTTTTCCTTTTTTCTCCACTGGTGGTCCACCTCCTACCCTCTTTTCGATTGAGTGGAATTACCTCATCAATTTAATCCTGAATCTTGCCTTCATTTTTTAGAAATCACACATAGACACGTAGACGTCAGCATTGGTCGACACCCATAGATCACATTATAGGCTCAGTACGGATTAATAGTGTCAACGAGGCAGAATGAAAGTCGGCGCCTCAGAAGGTCCAGCTTATAAGAACCTGTCCCTTATTCTACAGTGCAACATGTCACCTGTAGCACCTATCGTTCCGTCTCTAATTGATTTCTACAGTGGGGGAGGGGGAGAGGGAGCATCCAAAAAGCAACCTCTCCATTTTACCCCTGTCGCGCTCTTGCTCAAGAATATGCCATTCCTCTCTTGCCGAGTTTTATGAAGAAGTCTGATCATCGAGCAGGCTGATGTCCTTACTATTTAACATCCCAAGAAATGAAGTAGTTCCCCTAACCCATCAGTCATAGCAACACATATTACATGTCAGGCCCACCAGAAATTCGATTCCTCGGCAAATGCGGCAGCATTTTTGATCCTCGACGAAATATCAAGATCTAAAGTCCAGATTTCCTTCTACATTTCTGCGTGCAGAAAGGCATCGCGATAATACGCCAAGAAAGGAAATAACCCACTCTCAGCGCTGATTCGGATAACGCTGACCGCATGCTCTTCCTACCTGGGTAGACTTTTTTTAATTATAAAACACTAAGATTTGTAGAGTCAAAAATGTGCGTGCCGTTTCATACATATACCTCGGCTTTCTGAGTTCCCCTCGAGTTTGCTACATTCCCCATACCGCACGCTTCCTCCTACTCAGCTCTATGGCTTGGTCCTTTTCGTTGAGCTTAGCTGTAATCCCGCCAGATCATCGACCATATGATAGAAAGACCAGTAGAAAAAGGCATAAGTACTCAAACTTTAGAGATTGGGGGAGCGTACACGACTGGCAACCATATGTCGGAATTCACACGAGAACGCGTACGGGTACAATTTGCGTATTATTGGTTGAAACATGGAACATATCAGAGGAGAACTCACTTTGTGCCCGCGCAGCAGAAATTCCACCAGACACTGATAGATGGGTTTCATGGAAAGGACTTTGCATGGAGTCCAAGCGATTTTTCTCGTGTCCTTTATCCTTCCCCAATGCACAGAATATTCTTTGTCAAAACAGCCAGATACAGCACAACCATCTGAAATGAAAGCTCTTGGAGGAAAAACTCTGCAAAGCAATCCTGAAGATGACATCGAAATCTATCTCAAACGATTTAGAAATTTCTTTCTTCAAAATTTTCTTCCTGATTTAGAACTAGGAAGAAAAGTTGTATGAAGCAGACAAACCACAACTAGCTTCGTTACAAAGCAATGTGCCCAAAAAGAGATCATCTACAGTCAACGAACAACGTCGCAACGAAAGAAAAGAAAGCGCAGTCCAACATGCATATAATAACATATACAAACAAACAACCATACAAATACCTATAGTGACCGGCCTCAGAAGACGGTTTGATGGTCTTGAGGAAAGTGTTGGAGGAAAC